TTGAACATTTCTTCATACAAAAACAACTTTCATCGATCATTCAATCAAACTGTTGAAAAATTAGTCGACATGAATGCAACAAAATATCAACTACTATATAAAGTATAATTTTTATATGCACCAAATGAATTCGAATACAATTTTTATTCAACTACCATAGAAATTGATGTATCATTATCAATTCGTAAAATTGAACACAATTTTTATTCAACATGAATGGAAATAAAACAAATAAATATCAACTACAATGGAAATTGAGTATCATATCAATATGAACCAACTACACTCATGGAACATTTTCATTCAACTACCATAATAAATCAAGTATAATATTAATTCATGCACCATAAAAATGCAATACAAATTTTTTTCAGTATGAAAGCAAGTAGAACAAAATATCAACTGTCATGGAAATTGAAGTATAGTTTTTATAAGCACCAAATGAATTCGTTTACAAATTTCATTCAACTTCCTCAGAAATTGATGTATCTTATTAATTCATGTATCATAAAAATGCAATACAATTTTTATTCAACATGAATGGAAATGAAACAAATAGATATCAACTACAATGGAAATTGGGTATCATATATATTACTATGAACCAAATAAATTCATATTCAAGCTTGAGTTTCTAATCTTCTCCTGAAGATGCTAACATAGTTAGCGAAACACGTGTCGAGGCGTTTAAAAAATAGGTTTGGTTACTGGAAAGACAGTGTAGTGTATATCTTCGTGCCAAAGGTTCCAGCCTTTTTCAAACATTTCATCTGATTGTATGTCTTCCATCTTAGAAAGTTGAATACGTAGTTTATCGATACCAAACACGATTTTTAAACATCCTATTACGAATTTATAAGCGCTGAAATCTTGAAAAGTATAACACTTTGTATAATAGTATATATGGTAAAATTTGTTCAAAATCACATAACCTATACCACCTCCTTCCGTATATACGTCGGTGAACCAAATACCCTGTATAATGGTAGGTACAATGCTTATAATAACAGTTTTTTATTTGCCACACGTCAGGAAGGTTCAAACAAATTCCAAGACATAATCTAATTTTGTAATGGTGGTAATGATAATAGTCAGAGTCTTTATGCAGCAGGTTTCGGCAAAATGAACTATCTAATTTGAACTGGTTATTCAATTAGGTAAATGAAGAAACGAGTCAGAATATATTTTTGAATGCATTGTCCTTGACACTTTGCATTTGAATTTGAAGAAGATGACGTGAGATAGCATCGATTCCATTTCTAATTCCAAGTCTTTCAAATTTCTGGGTTTATATGCACAAACACTTCAAGCTCCAGATAAAGCCACCAAGAAAATAATACGGAATAGAAAGATCTATGGATCTGACTATGTTTTATTAGAAACTATTTTCATTTAAATTAACAGAATCGTTTTCAGTAATGACATAAAATGGACAATGCAATCACATCTTGACAAAAAACAGATGATATATTATTGGAGGCATTTCCTTACGATTTTAAAATTTCAATTCATTATACACAAACAACAGATATGGAATCCCTAATAACACAAGTTTGTCCATTGGATGTCCATTGGACCCACTCCTCTGGACACTGTGGACATCCATTGGACATCCAGATTGTGAACAATGGACTGCGTATGGATGTCCATAGGACATTCACTTTCCACCTATTGGGACATCCATTGGATGTCCTTTCGGTACATCCACTGGATGTCCCTTCGGTACATCCATAGGATAGATACTGTGGACATCCATTGGACATCCAGAGTGTGTACATTGGACTGCATATGGACGTCCATATATTGAAAGAAAAAACAAAAACCATCAGGTACAAAAATAAATCACGAATTCAGTTCTAAGAAAAAAAAGATAAAATGAGATATGAAATACCTAAATACATATCCCCAAAAACATGGACACGTAACCAGACTAAAAAAACTGAGTTGCACTAACTGAAAAATTATGTGAACATTATATTATTGTTTTGGATGATGTCGCTCTTTGGCTGTATTTCTCTCCTTCGCCCTTCTTAGATATTTTCTGATTGCCTCCTACACCATCTTCTTATCGCAATCTAGGCTAGACATTTCTGCAGCTTCTATAAAATGAATGTGTATATTTAGATCTATAATGAATATAAATCAATATATTGAATAATGAGATTTAGTGTTTAAAAGCATGTTCCAAATTATTATTATTAAAAAAAAACAGCTATAAAGTCAAATTCACCACCATGATTGAATAAATCTATTACTGACTGAATAACTATTACACCAAAAATCTATAATGAGGCAGATAGTCATCAATCAGATGAGTCTTTAGTTGTGGTGAGCTGCTACCTAGATTTTTGAAATCAGATTTACTGGTCACTCAATCATACATTTGAGCAGAGATAGCATTTATTTGAAACACATAGCAGACGACTGCTATAAATACAGGATTTTTTTTTATTTTCATCAACTAAAATTATGTAATGCTGATGAGATCATAACAAGATCGAAACTGGTCTACTTCCTGTCCTAACCAAGGAAATTAAAAAGTCCTAACCAAGAAAATTGAAAAGCAATAATATATATTATTGCTCAACCTACCTATGATCTCGCACTCACAGTGCTTTATGTCATTTCTCTTCATGAAAAACTAATTAGCAGAATATTTCCCTCAGGGGGAGAAATTTATTCAATGTAATAGCTCTTGTGCTTCTGCTGTTGACCATTCCACTTTCCTTTTCGAGAATCAATCAAAATCGAGTCAATCATTCATAACAGCGATATTTTTGCCATTTTGAATATTTAGGATATCCAGAAAATATTCACTTGATATTCAATATATATCTGATGGACATCCAATGGATGTTTTTATCGGATGAAGCCATTAGATGTTTTTCAAGAACATTCACAAGATGTCCATGAGACATTGTTCTCAGATATCCACAAGATAATATCTTCAAGGGAGGTCATTGGGACAACATTGAGGAATATCATGCATTACATCAGTGGAATTAAACCAAGAGGGTTTATTAAAATATCAAATATATATATTGAAACTATCAGAAATTGACTACAAAAAATTATATTCTGGATATGGCACTGAAACATTCTGAGTGTATGAGATATTATATCCTAGTTGAATTCGTATTTGAATTGAAACAAGTATGGCCAGGGGCGTCCGCAGAAATAATCTCAGGGAGGGACAAGTCACAATAGATAATGTACATCATTCAGAACATATGAAAAAAAAAACTGTTTTTGCACGACCTATAAGCGATTTTACACCGACAAAAGCGGGAATACAGGGTATACAGAGAAGGCACTCTCTAGGATACAAAATTTTCCGGAATTTTTTTGGTAAAAAATCTAACACTATGTTTGCAGCAGCTTCTTCAATATTTATTCAAACAACTTTGGAAAGCAATTGAGAAAATATGCTACCACACTTTTTCGATGTTCATAAAAAGCAATATGGCTACTCTTCTTTATCGGTAGTCATGATAATCAAACTTCATTTTGTGATTATTGTGTTCAGATTTTCATTATTATATTGACAATAATTGATTTTATCATCAGATTCTTTCAATTAAAATCGTCGAGTCGTGCAAAAATGGTATATAAACCTCGGAAGTGAGTTCTTTCTTCCCTCAGTGCAATGTAGCACCCTTTGGCTACAAACCCACCTCTGAAAAAATTTTACTCTCTCGATATATAATCGACTATTATTCTACATAAAACATGGAATGAAAAATAAGAATAATAATTGAATTGACATCACATAGGTATTCTGTTTACAGCCAAAATTACAATAAAAAATTGCACGTGATGATAATCATAACCTTGTTCAAACAAAAATGGCATTCCTATAGAGTCTTGAGCAAATTTATCAATAACTTCGTTGATATAATTAACTCTTTATATATATCTATAAGATGTCGATGAATATTAATTGAACAAAGTCTCAGAAATAAGTCACAATAATAAGCGCTAATCAGAATAGGAATTGAATAATGCAAATGTATCTTGTTTAGAAAGTATGTGATGAGTAGAGACCAGGCGTTAGGAGGGGGGGGGGGGCGAGTAATTTCGATATTTGAATGAATTTATCTCGGAATTTTTGTTTGCTTTGAATACCTCAATTGTATGGCTATCTCCAGGGCTATCTATGATATATTTTCTGAATTATTAATTATTATTATAATTATTTTATTTATTTCGAATTCATATATACTGATGAATATTTCATAATTTTCCATCTTATCACAATTTTTTAGGAGAACGTGGGAGTGCAAAATAGATTTCGAGTGTACAGTATGGAATAAATTCAATATTTCCTAAACTAAAAGCATTTTCAATAAAAATCTCAAATATATCGATTTCTAATTTCTATGTTCAGCAATGTGCCACAAGATTCATATATTGAGGCATTTTTCCGAATATACCTAATTCAAATATTTTGTAACATTTTTAGATCAATGAAGATGAGCTGATTCCAAAAAGGTATGATACTTGGGGTCACAAAATACAGGATGTAACATTAAAAAAATTTGCCGATGCCATGATCACCTCAATAATATGTATCACCCTGTGTAATGGAATTTTTTTGTTGAATCGAGAACATTAATGTTGGAATTGAAAATCGCCGTTTACCTATTTTTTTTTTCAAACGTCTATCAGTTCAGGACAATTTAGGAAATATCAAGTTTATTCTATATTTTTCGGACCCAGTGAATGAATTTCATATTAGCTCAGGATATTTCGTGGCTATACATGAGTCTTCATTATGAATTCTCGATTCATATCTAATGGATATGCCCGTTACAGATCCCGGGATATCCCGACTAGAATTGGACATGAAACGGATATCCATACGATATCCTCTGTTATGTCGCAATACCTAATGGCATAAAATCGACGGTTCCTCTAGTTATCCGGTAGTTATTCCATCGTTATACCATCCGACAATTTTCGCCGAGTTGTTGGCAACACTGCAAGGCGGTGCAGTTGTCAGTCGCCTACCGTGAATCTACCCAAGAAATACCGAGCGCGGATCAGAGTGTTGTGTTAATCAGTGAAGTTCCCCAAAAATATGTCGGTACTGCCGGCACTTCTTTCCCTCCTGATAACGTACTCAGGGACGCCAATCGACGCCACGGTGAGTAACTGGTAGAGCTAACTTTCCTAGATCAATCCTACCAAGAAACATCCGTTCAACGGCTATGTCGATGGCAGGTCGTATCGATTTTCAGAATGGCTCTCCCATTTTGTTTATCCCATGTTTGATTCGTGCTGGTTAGGGGAAGTTAGCCCTCAGCTAGTGTTTGTAGTAATGAAAACTTACCACATAATCGAAAACGAGACGGAAATGGATAATGAACCAATTATTGTTGTACCACTCGTACTTCATCACATTCTGGCAAGATTGAGATCGAACCGAAGAAGCAGAGGAGCTATCCTCACTGATTTCAAATTACTCCTATGTGTAGGGCATCGAATGGGTTGAAATTATTTTGTTGTTAGGTCCCTATTGGATTCTCAAATGAATAGAAATCGTGATATGCAAATATATGCTGCTGAATTTGACAACATACCCACCTACAAAATCATAATCAAAGTTCATTAGGAAGCTATTGCTTACTATAATAAGCTCGATAATACCCGTCCAATCAGAATCATTGAGATTTACATTACACATTGATTCATTTGATTCACTTAACCATGAAAATAATGAGAAATCGGATACGCCAATAATGAAGTTGAAAACTCTCAAGAGCCCTTTTAGTATCGATTGAATTTGATTCATCCTAAGCAACGGCGATTGACCTTTCATATTACGCTTTTGAATTGTAAATATTACCATAGACACAGAGTGAACACACCTCAATGGAGAATGCATTCATGCATAGGTAAAGGAATGAGTACTTATGGTAATGAACAAGAACATTTCTGTTGATATAGACAATGAAGGAGAAGATGGTTATCGTCATTTTCCATTTCTCTAATACCTCGTCTATGCACCATAAAAGAAGCATTTGAGTTTCCAGTTTTGTGTTTCGTGGGTTGAGAACCTGTTACAGAAATGGAAAGAATAACAAACCAACTATTTTTATGCTACTAGAATCTCATCACATTCTGGCAAGATTGAGATCTAATCAAAAAACAGGAACTGCTGATTTCGAAGAACTCCGGTATGGAATGGACTACAATATAATACTGTGTAGGTATGTTACCCAACGTTTTGGTTCCTCAAATCCTCGAAAATTGTGAAGTACAAATTTATGCCGCTGAATTCGAAAACATACCTAGATACCTAATCAACAGTTCATTATGAAAACATTGCTGGCTATAAGCTTCCATTCCGAATTGGTGAGATTATCATATTCAATACCTACCTTATGAGGTTGAACTCTTGAAGCCCTTTTACTGTACGTATCGATTGTATTTCATATTTCCTAAGCAACGGTGATTGTCCTTTTATATGGGGAACGCATTTGATTTGTAAATATTACCATAGACACAGATTGAACACAAAGCTAAATGCATCCATTAATGTATAGGGGATGAGGTGAGTACCTTCAATGAATAAAAATAATTTTGTTGATATATTTGACAAAGAAGACCCTGCACTTCATTTACCTTTTTCATTATATGAACACTTCGTTTGTTGAACTTCTGAATAAATTTTTATCGTTTACGCCTCGGCCTACTTAATAATTTATTATAATTCCAATGGGATTAGAATCTTCTGAGTTTATTAAAAAAAAAGGATGGTCACTGAAAAATGATATCAATATTATATTAAATTGTCCTCTTCTGTTGTACACCGGGTGTCCTTAAAATGTCTTCACAAAAATCTGCCACATATGTACTGAAAAGAATCAAGTTGTATGCCCATGGAATGAGATTCATCATGATCATGATACCTATATGGGTTTTTGGCCAAATAATGCTATGCCAACGTATCATATATCCGCGGGTGAAATTCGAGATGAAATCTCATGAACCCTTCCAAAGATGTTGTAGGCTCATAATGAACATTTTATCTTGCTCTGGAAAAAGTGTGATTTTCAATTTGAACGAAAGAATTCTCCTGCGGCGCATTTTTTTACTAATGTCTGCAGGTCTAGAAATTTTGCTTCTGGCACCCCTGAGAAAAATTCCTGTGGGCGCCCATGTCCAAGCAGCCCTCGTCTACGCCCCATTGGTAGCGTTGAAGTTTCCTGGTTTGGGTGTTAAGGACCTGAAAAACAAACGGAAAGGATAACAAAACTAACTATTATTGTTATGCTGATAAAATTGCATCACATTCTGGCAAGATTGAGACCGAATCAAAGGACTTCTACTATAACTAGAATATGGCGTAAAATCGTCTTTGGTGGCTATCGTGATTTGTTTCTTTGATCTCCAATCATTTAGTTATAGTCACAAATAAATTATGTATTGTTTCAAATGTCGCCGACTTCAACAACATACCTTATCAACAGTTCATTATAAAGCTCGTTATAAAGCTATTATACAATAATTGGATTCCAATTGTAATAATCATTGAAACCTGTATTACCAATATCGTCATGGAATTCGATATAGGTAGATACCTGAATTATAAAGTTGAACTCTCGAAACCTTTAAACTATTGATTATATTCGATAATTCCTAAGCAACGGCCGAAGCAACGGCGAATGACCTACCATATAACGCATTCCGAATAATCTGAATATTACCATAGATGTAGACTGAATACACAGTACACACCTTTATAGAAAATCCATTCTCGTGCAATCTTTTGCGAAGAGAGTAGGTACTTCGCGTTCTCTATTACACAGTACGCGAAGTATACAACTTCACAGCCGCTCCCCATAGCAACGGCCAAACCAAACATCACTTCCGAATTTGATAATTCTATAATTTATAAAAAATAGTTATTTTTGTAACAAGAGCGCGAATTGCTACTTTTGTGATAAAATAGTCGAGATGACCAAAGTATATCGCGCTCGAGTTGCAAACAAAATTTTTCTACAAATGTAAAAAAATATAGTTCTGATGTGAAAATATGCTTAGCTTGATATAAACAATGGTATTGAACTAGCTTGAAAGGCGTCCTCCTATCCTCGCAAGGTACGCACGATGTTCCACGAACATAATAGGAATTTCCTTTCGTGCACTCCCAGAGATGAAACGAAGTTATTGTTGATTATTCAGAAATGAATGATTTCGTGGAAGATTGCTTGATTGAGGACCATAAAGTTGAAATATAAATATCTCATATATTTTACATATATATAACGATGCGCGAAGTAGGTACTTCGCGCACTGTTTTACTTCGCGCATTGTTTTGTGCAAGTGGTATCATGATAACGTAGGAAACTGAAAAAAGTGTCACTTTTCAATTTGTTATCAATGCGCAAACCTTGTCATTTTTTGACGTTTGTAGAAAAAGGTCCATTGATATCAACCTCACTTCATTTGTTTGCAAATCGCGAGATTTAGTTGAGAGGGGGGGTCAAGTTAATTGTGTGTATATTGATATGGCTAAGGCTTTTGACAAAGTTGAACATTCCAAACCTTTTTGATACTATTGATTATCTTCTGATATTTCCTGTGAAATGGCTATTTATCATGGACCATTAGCGACCCATAGCATGCAAAATGGGATTACGTATGTATATATGTAGAAATGGTTGAACAAATAATCTTTTTATTCGTTTTTTTTTTTCATTATTCAAACACCATCGAAAATAGATTGCCCTCAAAGAAGGCGAGTGAATATACATAAACGACATGAACCCTCATGATTTGCGTAGGTAGCGAAATGAATAATAATATAGATATGCGCTCTATATGTCATGGGTAGATATGGATATTCGCTCTATGTCATGGGAAGCATCGGTGATGATTGTTATATGCTGATTTTGAATTTGAAAAAAAAACGACCCATCACAAATATAAAAACATCAGGCTACACTGAAACAAATTTAAACTCACCAAGGGATTTTAATATTCTTTTCGAAATTATATTCTTGATATGGGTTTAACGACCGAACCTGTAGCCAATGACTCCTTTCAACAACCTACAAAGGGTATCAATGCTATACCTACTAAATCTCGTACTAAATGGAACATCGATATCTGAAATGTTTGGAGTCGAAAAAATATAAAATATGCTGCGATTTATAATTCACATGAATAAAGTTCAATTGTGTGTAGAATGATGGAGTTATTGAAAAAAATTACGAGAACCACTATGAAACTGGCAATTGAAAGTATATTGAATATCTGGAATAAACATCTCAAGGCAGGCTATTTTATGTCTAGAAATGACATCCACATGTTCACATCAAATTTATTTCTCTAATACCTTTCAGTAGGCAAACAAAGAAATCAAACAGAAGAACAAAAACCATATACTTCCAATATCTTTGGATAACTCTTTGGGCAGTGCAAATACATCTCAAAAAAACATCATCATGTCTACATTTTCAAAACATCCCACAGGGATGCTTGTGCTCGTATAAGTATACTTGAAATCGATGATGCTGATATCGATTTCGTCTCGATCTTACAAAATTACTTAACCGCCATAAAGAGCACTCACTACTCTAATTGAGTACTCAAATAACCCCTATGATCGCACTTTCAATATTCTGATATGGTTAATATTCATTGACAAATTGGATTCAAATTGTCTCGACGATATTACACAAGAGACCTTATAAAATTACTATCATTTTTTACTCATGAATTGGATCTAAAATATCGCAAATGTGCCCAAGAGAACGAAAAGTGAACACGCTATATTTACATAAGGACTATAATGTGAATATAAATGAGATGCAGTTGCTGTTCAGACCCTATAAAATCAATATTTGTTTACATCTCCAAGGAACCTGATTCATAGAAGAGTCACTCCAGAAATCCTTGTAGTGATGGGGGAGGAAATTAGTCCGAACCCTTTTCAGTCGATGAATCATGTTTCAAATTTAATGTACAATCAATATTATAAGTTGAAGTCGATTAAAGTTGAAGGGAATCAAACTCGGAATCGAATCTATGGCGTTTTTAAATCAGCATATTCCATTTGATATTTCAAAATGCCAGTTATGAAGGTGGAGCCGTGACGTGTTAGTCCTGCTACCTTTCAATCTGCAGTGTTGCTGT